GTTGATGCAGCATCCACGTGCAAAGTGCCCCGCAAGAGAGTCCATCTGTAATAAATGTTCAAAAATTGGCCATTGGTCAAAAGTGTGCAAATCTTCCAAGTCAAATGTGCCTTCAGCTAAACCTGCCCATTCAGCTGCCATGCACCTAGCTATTATTGTAGCAACAAGTGACGCTACTGTGGATGCTCTGAAAAAGGCCACTATCGCTGTAAAGATCAATGGAACCTTCACTAGTAGATGTTTGATAGATTCTGGCAGCTCAGAAAGTTTCATTGACATGAACTTCGTCCACTTACTCAAGTTGCCGATACATCCTGGCTCATAAAAAATATTGATGGCTTCCACCGAATTTTATGCGCCAACGCTTGGATACTGCGAAACGCATATCCAATACGGCGATCATGAGGTTACGAAAGTGAAGTTGGGGGTAATGAGGAATCTCTTTGCTGACGTTATTCTGGGTCATAACGTACTCCATCAACATTCCTACCTGGAAATGAAATTTGGCAGACCTAAATCTCCCCTTAAAATCTGTAGTTTTGCTTCTGCTGATGTTGAGGCCCCTTATCTCTTTGCCAATCAGGGTTGGCGATTTTTTTTTTATTAAAAATCAATGATTTTTTTTATTTTTTCATGATTTTTTTTTATTTATTTGATTTTTTTGATTTTTTTAGTTTCTTTGTCTTTTTTGAGGTGTTATTTTTTATGTTGCAATTATCCTACTAACAATAACAGTATATGGATCATAATAGATGGCTAAAAAGGGCACTTATTGCCTCCAATAATGGCCAACAGGCCAAGGTGGTGTTTACCACTTAGGGATTTTCGGGTAAACAATTATTGGTAAGTCTATTCATTAGCTTTGTAAAGTTTGTATGGAGCAAGGCAATGAGCTAAATATTGACCATTTAACTGGCTTCAGTATACAAAAACACTTCAGGAATGCAGATCTGATAAACATTGAAGAGTCACATAACAGATACCGTAAAATGGGGTAACTTAGACCGGCGGGGTAACTTAGACCACTTTTCATTTTTTTTACAAAAACCCCCACAACTCAAAAACTATTTGACATAGAAAAATTTTGTCAATGGGCATTAAAGGCCTAATACTGAGGCTACATAACACAATAGAAAGATTTAAAAAGTTTGCATATCTAATAGGTTAAAAAATTAAAAATGTGACCCACGAAAAAAAGCTATTGTTTAAAGCCTGTCAGAGTACCCCCTCCAATTTTTTTATTTTTTGGTTAAATAACTCCAGGTTTTGATGCATTGTAGTTGGGGTGATTTACAGTGGCCTGCAAGGTCACCTGATTTGAGCATTTGCGATTTCTTTCTTTGGGGACATCTAAAAGAAAGGGTGTTCAGAAGTTGCCCTCACGCCCTACCACAGCTAAGGGAACGGATTATTGCAGCAGAGGTTATGGCCATACCTTGCCATATGTGTGAACGTGCTGTAGGAAACTTCTGAGAACAACTCCAAAAGTGTGATGCAGCTAACAAACCCCATCTTCCTGATATTGTTTTCAAAACATAAGTATTTTAAATGGTATGTTATGCTAATCTTAAGGAAAATGAAGTTTCTTCTTTATGTACCTCCATTACTCCTTTATTTTGCCTCAAAACTGTTCAATCAGTTCTGCCCCACCCTGTATAAGCTAGCTAACACATTTAAATTGTTTATTGTAATCAATATATAACAAATAGTCAAATAGTTAGACTACTTATAGCCTTATAAGAATTAGCTAAGCTGCTAGCTACGTACAATGTATTGCACTCTTGATGCCTCTGTACCAAAAACATTCCATTTATTGGAACCTAATGCACACTAAAGGCAACAAGTTTATATACCAATTGGTCATTCATATTACATTTATACTAAACCATGAATAACAATGTTGCCGGGTGGATGTCTCACGTTGCGGGTGAGGTAACCATGTTACCTATTTTGAGTTTGGTTTGGCAACAACCCTTCTATCTGGTATGTTAAAGGCAAATGAAAGACTGGTGTCTTATCTCTTAAATTGAAGTAAAAATATGGTGACAATGTAATGAGTGAATAAGTTTAACTGCATTCAGGAGTTATGATTAGGGCTAGGGGAAGGGAGCATGGACAGGGTTACACATATTCCATCATTGATGAACTGAAAAATAAAGAGAACAAAAATCAATAACCTGTCCAAATAGATAATAATAATAAGCCTGAAGGGAACTTGAATGTTAAAACTGATGCAATAAATACTTAAAATAGATTCTTAATTGATGGCAAGCTGGTTTCGTGCAGCAAGCGAGAAAATGTGAAAAACAAAACAGACAAACCTTATAATATTTGGAGTGAAATTGATAAACAATTGCAAAGATGAGCTAAAACAGAACCAAGATAAACCGCTCAAGTAATTTGTAAAATTTGTGACGTTATTGAGATAAAATACACAAAAGCGAAGCATTCGAGAATAAATTGCAAGCAGACAGTTGACATAAGAAATTCAATAAACATTAGATGAAAAGTAAAGCACAAACAAAGCTAATTAATCAGATTAGGAGGTAGTAAAATTGTAGGACACTTACAAAACATCTTGGAATTAAAAGATCACACCTAACTAACTCACCAACAACTTGTGGCAGTTCCACTTAGAGACTCAACAGTTTAGGGATCAGTAACTTCACTTGCATGGCTCTCCAATCACTATCATAATAATTGACCAATTAGCCATAAATGGAATTAGTTTACAGGCTGAAAAGAACAAAAGAAAACATACATTCAACAATAATTAATAAGTAAACATTAATTCAAAAATAATTCATATATAGAGAGCAGATGGTTGGGTGAAAAATATGGTAGAGGCCTCCCGGTAACAACAACACCTCAATATAAATTAAAGACTGCCACTCAATATTTTTAAATATATGAAAAAATCGAAAAAATAAAAAAAAATCATGATTTTTTTATAAAAAAAATCAAGTGATTTAATCACATGATTTAATCATTTTGATTTAATAATTGCCAACCCTGTTGCCAATCTTAGTGAAAATTGCAAACCAGTTGCAGACAAATCAAGATCTTATTCGGCAGAAGACCACGCCTTCATCCAACAAGAAACCGCAAAACTGTTGAAGGCTGGCATAATTGAAGAGAGTCGGTCACCTTGGAGGGTGCAAGTGCTGATCACTGGCGGAATTAACCAAAAGAAAAGAATGGTTATTGATTATTCAAGAACTATCAACAGGTTGACACTCCTTGATGCTTATCCACTACCTAACATTTCAATTATGGCAAGAAATATTGGCCAATACTCCATCTATAGTGTGCTTGATTTAAAGTCAGCATATCATCAGATTCCCCTTCGAGAAAAAGAAAAGCCTTTCACAGCTTTTGAAGCTAACGGGCCCTTGTACCAATTCTGCCGGGTACCTTTTGGTGTAACCAATGGGGTGGCTTGTTTTCAGGGGACAATTGATAACATCAGCACGAAAGAACTTACGGGACACCTTTGCATATGTCGACAACATCACCATATGTGGTGCCGATCAGCAATCTCATGATAGAAATTTATTTAAATTCCTCGAAGCTGCAAAGAAGTACAACTCAACTTTTAATGAAGATAAAAGCATCATCTCAGTGTCCTGCATCAACCTGCTGGGTTACAACATCAGGAAGGACAAATTCGTCCGGATCCAGAAAGGCTACATCCACTTAAAGAACTGGAGCCACCATGCAACGCAGCTGCGCTCAAACGCACCTTGGGAATGTTCTCTTATTATTCGCAGTGGATACCAAAATTCTCTGATCTCATTCGCCGGCTAGTTTCGGCCACTGAGTTTCCCCTGCCTTATGAAGCCATGAACACGTTCCTTTCAAGCAAGAAAGCCATAGAACTATCTGTTGTGAACATTATCAATCCTAACATCCCACTGGTCGTTGAAACTGAGGCATCGGAGTGCGCTATAGCTGCTACCTTAAACCAAGCTGGAAGGCCTGTTGCCTTTTTTTCTAGAACCTTGTCCAAATCGGAACAAAACTGGTCAACAGTCGAGAAAGAAGCTAGTGCGATTGTTGAATCTCTCGGGAAATTGAAGCATTTTTTACTAGGCACTCATTTTCAAATTGTTACTGATCAAAAATCTGTGTCATTCATGTTTGACTGCAGAAAACTAGGAAAAGTTAAAAATGAAAAAATTATTAAAAACTTAAAAGCAAAGAAAACTCCACAAAAATTCATAGTATCTTTAAAGAAAAGGTTTCGGAGTCCAGCTCCATCGTCAGTTTGGAAATTCTAGAACACAGAATTGACCGGTCTATGTTACCCCTTCAGGGCTGACATTAGGTGGTCTAAGTTCCCCATTTGGGGGTGGCGCCCCCCATTTGCAAACTATGACACTTTCCTCAAATTTGTCATTTGCATATGTAACTAGAAGAGTTCTACTACAATGCACCAAAACCTGGAGTTATTTTACCAAAAATAAAAAAATTGGAGGGGGTACTCCGACAGGCTTTGAATAATAGCTCTTTTTTGTGGGTCACATTTTTCATTTTTTAACCTATTAGATATGCAAAAATTTTTTTATCTTTCTATTGTGTTACATAGTCTCAGTATTAGGCCTTTAATGCCCATTGACAAAATTTTTCTATGTCAAATAGTTTTTGAGTTTTGGGGTTTTTTGTTAAAAAAACTAAAAGTGGTCTAAGTTACCCCATTTTACGGTAACTAAATAATGGTAAACATTAGGTTTTGGTATAGGTGCTTAAGTTTTGTCCAATGTTAGTAACAACTTTATTCATTATGAAGCAAAAAAATGAATTCTCAATAGATCTCTCAATCATTTTTGAAAACAATTTTATATTTTGATAGGTAACAGCTATGTTGTCAAGCAGGCATAAAAAAGATTACTTAATTAGATAAATCAAAATCAGCTCTTGTTACAATGTTTTTGTTCAAGTGCTCTGTGAACACACTGCAGATTCTAGGTATTGAACTAGTTCACTTTACTGATTTATTTCTGATTGAATTAGTCACTTGTGTAATGTTCACATGACATTTTTGCCACTGTAGAAATTGTTTGAATTCCTTTATGTTTTCAGAAAAATAAGATAACAGTCCAATTATAGCTTTGCAGCTGGAAGAGAACCATGGAAGCTGATGCCAGTCTCATTGTTGGTGGCTTGGATGTTGCTAAACTCTCTGATGATGAACTCTTTGAGCAACTCTCAAGCCATGGTGCTGTTGTTGGCCCTATAGTTGGTGAGTGTTATAAATTTATAAAGGAAGTGCTAATTATTATGTGTTGTCAATATTATATTATAAAGTCAATCCAATGAAACATAGGTACTCAATGTGTCTCCATGTATTTATATACAATCAAATTGTTACTGGGTGTAAGACAAACTCATATGATTTTTTTTGATGTTTGATTGGCAACCATATGAGTGAAAGGTTATTGAGATGGTTGTTCTTTCAAAATATTTTTTATATCTTGTACATTTAATGATTCTAGTGAGTGAATGATGAAAAAACAACTCTTATCAACTGTAATTTGTATTTATTTGTTCTTATGCATTAAAAATCTATCACTGAAACAACATAGACACTGATTTAGCTTCTTATCTATGATAATTATCATATTTGGTTATCACAGCAAAACAATTCCACTATTTAGTAGTGGAATCGTAAGACATTAAAAACTAAGGATAGATAAATAAGGATAGTCAAGGATGAGGATAGTCAAGATAGATTTTGAAATTCTACAAAAATTTTACTCATTTGGGAAGTGAAAATTTTTAAAAATATGAAGTTCTAATTTCCATTAAATTTAAAAATGGGATTTGAATTTGAGATTTTTGCTGAATGTAGTTCTGAACTGATTTTCCTTCAATAATGTAGTTGCGTTTTAAAATAATATAATATTGACTGGATTGGGATGAGCTTATGGACATATCTGTATTGTTCTGAAAGTTTGTCAAATGCCTTCAGTGGATCTATGATTCATTGGCAGCTTCTCTTAGTCAGATTCAAAGATCTAGCATAGCAAATTATATGTGGAAGCCATATATCACAAGTCTATGAAGTTTTTGACATTTTTTATTCAGTGTGCTTTTTAGCGCATTTTCTCATTTATGGAAAAATGCACTATTGTGCTCGCCATGTCCGTCTGTCTGTCTGCCCATCCGTGACTTCACATTTTCATTGATGAGAAAATACACTCTGTCACTCACTGCAGTGAGTACTGAGTTTTATTTTTCTTGTATTGTTCCTGTAGTGACATTTCTAACCTAATAGCAAAAAACAAAGGGCCTGCCTAAAAAATATTCTTAAAACATGATAATGTATTAATAATGTGACCTGAATATCGTTTTCACTTGGCTAGAAAAGAGAGGAGGTGCAAATTGGGTGTTGTGTTTTGCCACTCATTCATGTCCATTTCCAGGAACAACACGTAAAATTTATCAGCGCAAGCTAGTAACCCTCTTGGGAGGCTCCGTGAATAACTCGTCATTCTCCGAGTCCTTCACTCCTGATTGTGGTGGGGAAAGTGATGTTCCACCATCACAGGCATACAAAGGTGCTGTAAAAATATCACTTCAAGTTAAATGCTAATGATTTTGAACCACTGCAATGACATATAATTGCTACAAATAATTCATTTTTCCCCATCATTAATGTGTTGCCAACTCTGACCTTCACTCCCATAGCAAAAGTTAGGATCCCATGATTTTTATTTTAAGGTAAATCTATCCCAATAAATGAGTCAACTAGTCATGCACCTTCATATTGTACCACCAATTGTACCATATTGCATTAAAGTATATTGATTATCTTTCCTTTGAGTTCATTAACCATATTTTAAGAAACCAGTGCATCTAAAATATTTTCTTTCATCTCATTCTCAGAAAGATTAACCTCAGGTGCGCCCAGGGGTCGTCTAAACAGATCAATTAGAGGTAAGGTTATTTTTCTAAAGTTAGTATTTTTGTCTTGGTTGTTGATATAAACCAGTTTAGTTTATTTATTTTTGCAAGAAAATTTTCAGTGTTTCTTCTAAAATATCTCTAACTATGTAATTGGTATTAAAACGTAACTGGCAAATTATGTATGATGTATTTTAAGGAGTGTTCAACACAAATGATTAATTTTTCATTATTTTTAAAGTAGAACCGGTAAATTAATGATTGATATTGGAATAATTATTTGTAGAATTTGTGTCATTGTGGCTAGATTAAAAACCAGCTATTCTGTGGATGTTACTTTCTTCAGAAGTGGTTGGAGGCAATTTGGAAGACGAAGAGGAAGAGGAGGAAGAAGAAGAATGTGAAGAGGCAGTAGAGAGGTGTTTGGGGTCCACTGCAGGTCAAACGTCTACCCCGCTCTACTCTCCATCCCCCAGACGTCCTCTCCACCCCTCTTCAGCAGCATTCTCTTCTTACAAGTTTGTTTCACATAAATCTTCTTGATTCTCTCAAATGTGATTAGTTGCCTCAATTATTCTTAGGTCCCCTAAAACGTCTTGTCTTCTTTTGATTAAGTTAGTTTTGTTGTTTTAAATCTTATAAGTTCCCTCAAATCTGTTTACTTCTCTTGAATCGTTCCATCTTAGTTCCATTGATTTTTTTTTTTTTTGTTCCCTTAAATTTGCATAGTTCCCTTAAATTGGCTAAGTCGTGCATTTAATCTGGGTCAGCATGTGTTCAGAATTTGTGGGTAAGTTCATGCAAGTTGAGTTAATCTATTGGATCATTTTTCATTCTTTGCAGGTAAGTACTTGTCAAGATTGTCATAAGTTTTATTTTTTGTTGATTTTGCTGATCACGATTAGGCATTAATTTCTTCTTTTGTATGTACGTGTGATTTTTATTGGAAAAATTGATAGAAAACGTGAAATTTATAGAAAACGGACAAAGAGGGGGTAATGTAGAAATCTATCTCCTCCTAGGGTTTTGAAGCTACAGCGATGAGATATATACCATTCTATTTGTAAAAACCATACCAATCGAGTAACGAAGCCAGATTTTTTATTTTTGTTTCATTTTTTCTCCTAAACATAATCTGAAAATTATACACCCATTAAACCTATAAAGTGTATGATTTAAGATTGAGTGCTATCAATTAACACCACTTTTTGTGTTGCAGAGATAATGGGTATGACTCGACTCCATTACTTCCTCGACCATCCCTCACCCACCGAACTCACCAAACTAGCCCTGCATCACCACAAGCTGACCGCTCCTCCAGCCCCGTCACTGGCAACAGTACAGCCTCGGGCTCAAGTTCAATCGTCTTCAAGATCATTGCTTTGGTCATCATTTGCGCTCTTTTGTACTTCTTCTTCATAGCCAAGTAAGTTAATTTTGCGTAAATTTTGTGTTGCAATTATCAAATGGGGAGAAAATAAGTTTATATGCTCACTAAACATTTAAAATATTTTCTGATGCGTTTATTAACTGGGTGTATTTAGATTCTGAAGCCAAAATGACGTATATTCCCATTAAATAAATTAGATACTAATGTAGGTTATTCATTGTATTGGACTGATGAGATGAAATTCACGGAAGCTTAAATTGTTTAATAATTATTACATAATTTTGACTGTAAAAATTTTATTCAACGACTTTAACAATTTGAGTTCATCAGTATTTTTCCTTTTGTGAGTGCCTACAACTCCTTGTAATGGAGAGCTCGTTTCTTGCACTATGTTCGACCTTGACAGTCCAGCCATTCAGCTGACACGTCACAAATGATACATTGAGTTTGCTGAATAATTGGCAAACTATTGATTGGAGTTAGAAGTTTTGTCTAAGTTTAGTAGACCAAGAAGAGCTCTCAATGGAAACTGTTGTTCAGTTACTTGACTAATATTGAGTACTTAACTTTTTCAACAAAATCGATAGATCTCGAAGGCATTGTTCTGAACAGCAGTTGCTGCTGTTCAGAAGTTAATCCGTGTTTCAAGGCACCACTTTCTTCAAAGTTAAAATATTCATAGTGTTTAATCATTTAAATTTTCATTGTCATATTTTACTAGCAAATAGCCTGGTGAAAGCAACAAACAAGGCTCCATTAGCACGTCTTCTGTTATTAACGTCTGAATTTCGGTACATTTACTTGTGGAATTATTTGCAAAGGATTAAATGATTTCCAGGCCAATTCTGTTCATTTATTTGTGGAATTGTTCAAAAAGAATTAAATATTTTCCAGGCCAAATTCAGTACATTTATTTGTGGAATTATTCAAAAAGAATTAAATATTTTCCAGGCCAAATTCAGTTCATTTATTTGTGGAATTATTCAAAAAGAATTAAATATTTTCCAGGCCAAATTCAGTACATTTATTTGTGGAATTATTCAAAACGAATTAAATATTTTCCAGGCCAAATTCAGTACATTTATGTGTGGAATTATTCAAAACGAATTAAATATTTTCCAGGCCAAATTCACTACATTTATTAGTGGAATTATTCAAAAAGAATTAAATAATTTCCAGGCCCGAAAAGGACGGTTTTGCCAGTCTGGAACACATGGCAAAAACTGCCGCTGATGCCATGCACAAGAGCAAGAGTGGCGGCCACCAAGACGCTCCCAAACGAACTGGGCTGTAAGGAAACGCGGGAGTCCCCTTTTCTGCTCCATCTTATCGTCAGATAGACATAAGCTTCCTCTACTGTGAGATTGTCCAAATGGCGATGCACTTTTTGCTCTTAAGTTAGTCACCCTGACCCAGTTTGATTTCACAAAAAAAAGGCTTATCAGTGCTAAACGTCGAAAGTGTGTCACTATTTGGACAATAGGACCCAAATATTTTTTTCTGTGCTTAATCTTGATAGTGAGAAAATCTTTGTTAACCACATTCGAAATGCAAGTGCTTAAGAATGGGAAAGCTTGGTACTTTCATAGAATTTTTTTAAATTTGTGAGCCGTGAACGTTTAGTGATCATTATTTTTTTTGGAATTACATGGCTTAGCTTGCCGCGGTGTTTCTACAAAAGGGCGTATGATTTGCATACGCTATTGTCCTTCCCATCAAATGAGAATTAACAAACGTTGGTCCGTTTGACTCGCTGATTAAAGATAGTTTTTTTTTCGCGTAATTTTACAAAGAGTCGGAGCAAGAATTGGTTGGTTCTATTCAGTTGGTTTGGCTGGAATTAGTTTATCGTTCTTTTGCTATCAGTTGGCTTTGAGCTAATTTAAAACGGATCTGCTTCTTACACTTCAACTCCTAGCTTCTCACTTCTGCTCAATTTAACGTTCGATACTCGAGCTTTATTTAAGGTTTGTTACTTGATGCTGTACGGGGGTACTCCCTTCAGGAACACTACTCTCGCAAATAATTGATGCCATTGCTGCCTTTAGTCATAATTAATAATTACCTACGTAACTCACTTCCTTTGAAAGTTAATTAATGTTAGAATTTTCTGAATAACTTGCAAAGTGCTTCTCACGAGTTAAATTTCTGGCTTGATGCATTTCCTACCTCCGGCCATGTGTGCCAGTAAAATATTTCTCAACATCGATAAGAAGTATACTGTTGCGCATTAATTGTTAGAATAATTTGGATTATGTATGATAGAGTGGTGAACAAAAGAACTATCTATATGTCGCTCGTAATATTTTTTTCTTTGCTGTGGAGGAATAAAAAAGTTTCACATTTTTCGTTCTAATCACCTGATTGGTTTCATTTTATACTGACCTTCAGTGTAGCTGGCATATTTTCCTGGTATCCTTAGAGTGAGTTTTGGACGTAGCAGTCCCAGGCCTCGCTGGTGTGTCGCCTAAGTAAGTGCCCCATGTGACTGAAAATTTATTAGAGTTTTTGTCTTCGGCTGAGCGTAACTCGAGGAGAAAAAAACTCGACTTCATAAGAGGATCCAAGAAAGTTCAATGGTATAACAAGGAAACATATTTTCAAGTAACAAGTCTTCTGTGCGATTTCTGTTGTCTTCGGTTTTGTTTTCGGTCATTTAAATATTGATATTTTACATCAGATTCCATTAATCCTAAAAGCTCACTTAAACGCTTATTGAACTTTTTTCAATCTTGGCAGGATGCAAGACTTGAAGCCACTCATTTTAATTGCAACACGAGTTAGAAAATTGATCAAACTGTTAGAACTGCAAACTGCATTTGACAAATTGCTTGCAGGAAGAGTCTTCGGTTTTTTTTTTTTGTGCTAGTCAGAAGTCCTATAGGATTTTTTTCTCCGAGTGAGAAAAAACCAGAGCTCATGGTGCCGTACTGCGGAGTGCGGGCCTCAGTTGTAGGGTTAGGTTGTTATGGAGGCATAATTACCAGCATTTCTCTCTTGCGGATATTGGACGTCTTTCGTAAGCGAGCTTTGGCACGAGCGTCTTCACTTCTGTTGTTTTTTTAGCCTCTCTTGTTACTTCGTCTTTTAAATGCTAAAGCTGCTCCTTTCAAGCATCCCAGACTGGTCAATTGATACATCCCGCCTACTGTCGATGATGAACGATTTCGATTCATGAAAATTGCAATAGTTGAGACATTCCACCTTGTTGGCGATGTTTTTTTCGACTGACTTGATTAGTAAATTGATTCCTTAATGGAGAAAACCCTTTTTTAATTAAGAAGCCAAATTCTTCTGCATAGTAGTCGACTAAGTAGCACCTGGACTAATATTCGGCTCCTTGCTTTAGGAATTACACGCAAAAAAGAACAAAATTAACTCAAGAAATAAATGTGGGCTTTTGAACTAATCACCCTCATGGTCTGGCACTCTTGCGCTCATTTTAAGTATAGCGGTGTCAGCGTTCTGAACATCGCTGAATATTCAGAGCTTATTGTGGTCTCGAACACGCAACTCGCTGCTTAATCGCACGCAAAGCACTCGCGCAACTCACTGTCACAGGCAGCTGGGATCGAACCCACAGCTTACTGCTCAAAATCCTGATATTCTGAACTGTAAACACCTGGCCACCCCTAGGTTAAGGTTAGGAAACAACTAGAAATCACCTATTATGTATTTAAATCTTTTCAAATATAAACTAGGACAACTTTGACGTGAATCGAGTAGATAGGACAACATAGCTTTAATACTCCTCGTATCTCTTACATTCCAAGACTACTAACAGTCGTGTCAAGTACGCTCCTTGTAACACGGATCAGTGTGACCAGATCTGCCGTGCTGCCAACACTTAAGGTATATTACTATAACCTCTACTGCGGTGGTTCATAGGTTCATAACATTTTAATGGTAGAGTACCTCTTGGTGACCTCTTGATTGACGGCGCGTACCACCAGATTCAATAACGCACCAATAATGCTATATATTAGCATTGTATACCTAGCATTAAATTTGTTTTCTGAATGCAACTGATGCCAACCGCCACTGACTCGATAACCGTGGCCAACGGTTCAAGTCAAGCGGTACACTAAAATGCTGATATTAGCGCATGAATTGAATGTAACGTCTGAATATAAAAGTAGGCCGCTAGAATCAGGTCGGTGGTGTGTGGCATCAGCTGATTACCATTGAAGATTCTGTTGTAAATCCCTTCAATTAGATTTAGAGAATAATTAAATAAATATGAATCGTTTGTACGCCCAAAATTTCAGGTGAAGCTGTTCCACCTGAAAACTCTTCGCGTTCCCTAGTGGCACGGCTATCAAAAGTTAGAAACCGCTGCTCCGCTTGCTTTTCGCAACGAAAGCCAACAGCAATACGCTTATCAAATGTCACATCATCTTGTACCGTCAATGCCACATAAGTCGCCACTCAACATAAACTGCACATACCTCACCCCTCGTTACTAAAAACCCTATAATACTGGTCAGAACTACGATTTGAAGGTTTCGATAACCACATGACTACAAAGCTGTTAAGGTTGCGCTAGAAAGATGTGGTTTTATTTTTAAAGTTTATCGTCTCTATTGAAGGCCGGTGACTTTAGTGCTACTGGCGAGGTTATCGGCATTGACGGTAGCTCGGTCATCGCAAGGATGCCGTCGGTCACAGGATCACGTCAGCAACAAGACGGAGCCACTGATGTTGACAACACGACGAAGTCCTCCATGTTGGCAACACGACGGAGTCACTCGGAATGCGCGTGAGATAAGGCCTCTGTCCTGGCAATATGACAACGCAGCTCGCAATAATCATGTGATGAATCACGATAATACTGACTTAGACATAGAACGAGCGATAGCTGTCTTGAAGATAGTTTTCCGTCTCTATGTTAACGTAGGCTTCCAGTTGAAGCATTAAAATACTCTCGAGTGAAAAATTGCACTTTTTTCGGCGAAAAAGTTAGAGGCATGATAACTCAAATTAAGTCATTAAAGGTAGTCTTTACCAGTAAAGCATATTATGCTTTTACCAGTAAAAGTAGGCCGCGTTAATTGTGAGATAATTACGAAAGAGAATTTATGAATGGCATACCTTCTTTTCTATCTCAATGGCGTGTGGTAACGGGACATTAAACGTAGAATTCCATCCCAGTGGGCAACCCGAAAAAAAGAACCCAGCAGCCATAGCTTAAATATATCCTTATAGGTTATTCATCAGTTTAAAATCTTTCCATTGCTAATGGGCCTGTAGCTGTAGGTAATGTATTTGGTTAATGATCGTGATCAATATGATAATTATCAGCATCATGAGTCTTTTTTAATTAGTTTAAATTCACGAATACTGCAGTGAGATGCAAATGCCACTGGAGCATTGGCAACAAATACAGTTGTTGAAAGTATGAAGCTATATCATGTCTACACGCGGTATAAAAATCCTAATCTCTAAAATTTATTTACGCTGATGTAATTATTTATATGGATAATATAGGTATGTATATTATATATATTATTTATACTTTCATGTACATAATCTATATGAATATGTACATTTGGAGTGGGTCAGCGAATATATAGAGATTGACACATTGTTTTTCTGCATCGCTGTCAACAAGTATTCTTAATAAGCTTAGAAGTGTACATAAATAAATGGTGCTTTTCGGCTAATCCGGCGACATAATTCAATGTCAGAACAACAAAATATAAACTCTAAATATCTTTTAATATAAATTTGTTAACTAGCGTACTATAAAAAGTCTAAAGTGGTACACCATAAATCTCAATCAATTATTTATAAATATAAGTAAGTTTTCAACATATTAATGTGCCGCTTAAAAAGTATAAATAACTTTATTGAAGAATTAAAATGAATGAGTGCAAAATAACAATTCAAGGAACATTGTGGCTTCATGTAAAGTGCGCTCTTCACAATCGCGCTTAGCACTGGCACATGGTGCACAATTTGTGCAGATCATTTGTGAAATTTTCTTATGACATATAAAATTTTAGAATAATCGTAAACATAACTTGTATTTTGCCATTCTTCATTCTGTCGATCTTCATTTACTGACGAAGGTCCGAAGATGCGCAGGACACTCGTTAAAAAATGGCGCAATAATTTAGTAATTTTGCCACATCTAAAACAAAACTTCTTTGAAAAACTCACTATAATTCGCTTCCAAGTGATATAGACAATTAAGTAGTATTTATTAAGTAGTTATTAGCAGCTACCCCGAGTACTGTAATGGGGTTTCCTTTCTCTGACGGGTATATATAGATTCTTATAATTTGGTTGTAGTATAAACTTTTATATAATATGAAAAAATAAGAATGTTTGCGGTTGGCTATTATCAAGAGCCGGCAACATGCTTCAGTTTCAGTGCGCAGCAAATACAGAGTCGATTGTGTTAGTGTATATGTAGTAAATTGTGTGATGTAGTCCTGATTCATTCAAATAACCTCGGCCATTTATTATCCACGCCGCAGCACATATACGTAAGTATAACCGAACAATATTTACCAGTAAACCATCTTCACGAGCGTCCGGAAATGTATTTGTGTAAATAATTGAAATTAAGCACATAAATATGGCTAAATGTATAACTCAGTAACTCGGTAATCATTGTGAATCGTCGATTACAATAAATGATAGCAGCAAAGTTGTAGTAACCGTCACTCTGATAAAATGAATTAGGAAGCATAAGAAACTTTGTAGACTGACAGAGACAATTACCGTAACCATTATATATCGACCAATATATTTACTACTTATCATTCAAAAATTATTACTATTGCCCCAAACAATCAAACGACATGGTATCTGAACGTGTGATAATTGCTTACGATGTACTGTATTTCGAAGCTTCTTACAAGACTAGATCGGATTCCTCGAGGGCATTTATCTTCTAAAAAAAAAGTTCCCTCTGAAATTGTTGCTGGTGGATTGTTACACTCTGGAATAGTTCGAGAAAGAAAAGTCATTGCACGCACAGGAAAATACACTTGCATTTCACAATACTCAAAGCCGTTGCGAATGTGTCGTGTTGTGACGTCTTGATATAAAATAGCCTTGCAATGATATGAAGTTTGTGTGCTGGGGATTATAAGAATCGTAAAGCACTGACCCCTTAGAAGAAATTCTGGAAGTACCTATCATCGATCTCAAACATGCGCACGAAACAACGTAATAGTGTCTACTGATAATTAGTAATAGTGTGTACTGATAATTAAATAAATACAAGGTTTTCCCCCTTAACAGTCACATGAATATTTGAAAGTATGTGGCAAGGAATTTTTATCAATATTTTTATTGAATAAATTGTTTATTATTGCCTATTAACCAGAGCGCCAATAAATTTCACGGCGATGTGTTCCATCCTCAGCGGATAAAATGAAATTTTCTCTCCGTTGACGACCAAATGGATACGAGAAGAGAATGTAAACTTCAAAGCTGCGTTACGGAATGAGTGATACGAAATTAAATAATAATCAAGCCTGAATAATCAGGAAAATCTTAAGCCTACGGAAACTAAACGTAATTTTTAGCAATGCTGTACGTATCAGTAGACAAACTTCGATGTTTCACTTCAGTGCTCATGCATCGCTAGAACTACACTCCAAATCCGTAGAAAAATAACAAATCAATGAGCAATTGTTAACATCGTTATTCTGAGCAGGAATTATTGTGGAACGGTAATATTCCTGCAGACACCGTAGAATTGTGTCTTCTGCCACTCACTGGCAAGATCACGTCAGGAGAATCCAAGAAAACAGAGTTGTGCCGGCCGCCATTTGCATGGCAATTAGCAAGCTTCGCTGTGTTGGTGAGAGCTTCAGTTCTTTCGAAGTCAATAGTTGCGTAGCGCCCAGCAACTGACCGGCATGGAGGTGATTCTGGTAATCCAGAAGTAATAGAACCAATGGGACTAAATGGCGGAACCTGAGAAGAGTCTGAACTTTTATCAACGTCGACGACGATGTAGTTTATTTGAGACGTTGGTTGGGTGATGTCAGTGGTGGTAGTCCCTGACTGAGATGATCCAGAACCAGCGGAGCCTGTGGTTACTGATAACCTTGGAGGCACACTTGGAATCTCTTTGTCGAATCCCATATTAGCATAGAGACGATCCAAATCCTTTCTGTTATCAGAACCAATGTTCATGTAAACATGACATGTAGACTCAGAAATGTCAGGCGTGCGCGTGCAACTCGTGCTGTTGGACTCGTAGCTTTCAGACATGATTCCTTGCGTAATGAATTGTGGCGCATCGCTGCCCTGGTCGACAAAAGAAAGAGGTCTCTCGACGTGATTCAAAGAAGACGAAGAAGAAAGATGTCGATCAATGTTGGAACCAAGATGAGAAGGAATTCTGTCTGCCACGTTGTTGGAGTATGACACAGATCTGTCATGGCAGTTAATCCAAACCGGACACACGGCATCCATCCTGATGCCCTCCGGGGCAGGCGTAGGAGGCGGTGCATATGCTCCTCCTTCGACTTCGTTGACGTTTTCATGTGGTAGCACAGATTTATTTATATACAGTGTCCCATTTGAAGGACTTACCGGAGAATTAGGAGATGCTATTGGTGAGTTAATTGAATTGGCGTTGATGAGAGTGGTTGTTGGTAATGACGGAGCTAAAACTATACTGTGTCCGGTCATGGAGGCCATGTTGTTCCCGGGCAATGCAAGCGAGTCAGATCTTAGTCTGTTGCCTGGTACGGGCATCAAGTAATCATCATGCGGCATTAATATTGGCACATGATGAGAAAAAGACTGCTCAGCTATTCGCTGAATCTTGAGCTGAAGCATGTTGAAAAGATCCTGGGCTCTCCGACATCTAAAGGTGTAGATCCCTGGACCTGTAGGACATCGTCGCCCAGACTCGAATGTGAAGGTCTCGCCATCGAAGCCATATCTTCGTAGGCATCTTAAAGGCCATCGTATTGCTGTTCTATTCTTATTGTAGAGAACAATATTGGTGTCGGTGACTTCGAGCTTCACGGAACGATGGCGCTGACCGTGTTCGTCGTACTTCTCCACCTGGAATATGGTGGCGTGCATGTCGTTGGAGTCAGGGTGGCTCTCCACACAACCCATCCTACTGCGCAGGGACCTGCAATAAATACAATGTATTACTACCACGCATAGCAAAAATAATTTAAATTTACTGAAAAATACTTCTATAAATCATACATCGGTCACCGCTTCCTTCATGCGAAGTATGGATCGGAGAAACATTTTAAAACAACGCCCAGCCCTGGAAATTGAGATTCCGCACGTACGGTATTTCATTCTTAATAAACGACAAGTGTTGGCATCAGGCGCACATGACCATGAGAAAACTAGGCTTTTCGCAAATATTACTCATTTATTTGGTTTTATGTTAGAAATGATGCATGTGTGAGTTTATCCATTCAGATTAATATAGAATGTACGTATTATATTCAAAATGCATAAATAAATAATAGTGACAATTTATTTCTTGCAATCAGAAAGTCGTTTATATAGTAAAAATATCCATCGGACAACTTCTTTTCTATCTAATAACGCCAGCGAAAAACATTATTCGACTCATCGAAAAGAAAAAAAACGAACATAAAAATTGCCAACAAAATTTATTCTCCGTTCATCAAACGAACTCGTTTAATAGACAAAGGAACAAAGAACATACATGACATGGGAAGCAAGGATAAAATCTTTAAATTTCATGCTTATTACGTTTGAAATTGAAGTGTGATACGTCCAATCTAAGTAATCGATGTCCGAACGAACTTGATGAAACACAAAAAAATCACAACTTATTTTTTCTGAATACATTCTTTTCAAAATTATCTGCTGCTGCTGCTAGAACCTTGAATACTTCATTCCATTCATTCATTTTGATTCAAGACTGATAGCTCTTACTCGTCAGTATTATAGGGATATGTGCAACAAGTTATTACAGATTTGTCTATACACAGAAGGAGTCGTTGACATCTAACCTTTACACACACTTCAAGTAGAGAATGGCATTGCGCGATACTAGCTCGCTCTCAAGTATATCTCTCCTTACGTTGAACAGGCATGACTATAAATGTTGACTTAATCAACGATATTTGCTAATTATTCTTCGCAATAATTGATTCGGTGATGACATGTACTCTCTTTGATATAAGAAAAATCAAACGGTTCATTTGATAAACACGAACTTATCCGTTATAACGTTGCCGCTCAAAAGTTCTAATATTGCATTTAATAATGAATACGCTTCATTTTACAACACTTCTCTTTAACTTCACTCCTTGTTGTTTGTTTGTCTTCTACAAATCTTATAATCGATATTTAACACACTTCTACCAGTCTAATCGATCTGAAATTTTGCACATTTGCGTAAAGTCGGAGACAATGCAATAATGCATGAATCAATCGGCAGAATAAATAATTCTAAAATAGAAAAAATTATATCTTAGAAAATTAAAAAATATATATATTTTAAAATACCTAGAAATATAATGAAAAATTCATTGTACATGTGTAACATCGGAGACACTGGCCTCTTTAGAAGTGTTGTCTTTAAAAAGTAATTCTTAAACGCATATTATTTCGACTTGAAATTGAACTTTGTGAACTTCGGCTATTAAAGTGGTTCATTATTGCCTGGTATCGATACGAGTTCACTCTTCTAGGTTTGTGTATGATGAGGACGCTGATACTCGACGAGCTCGCTACAAACGATGACGCAATTTAATATCATGAGTAGAAACAAAAACTCAGGTGTAATTATGATACGTAAATGGTATTATTATGATGCATACAAAGTATTATATTATGATCATTAAACTCAAGCGTAATTATGATGCATAAATGGTATTATTATGATTAAACAGAGGAATAATTATGATACAAGGTATTATTATGATCATCAAACACAGCAGCAGCAGAATTCAACAACCTTAAACTTATAAATTCTATATTCATGTTCGTTCGTTGTAATTTGTAAATTCGTTTCTTTTCGTTGGATGCTTGTTACTCAAGTAATAATAAACACAAATGAAATTTGGAGTGAACGTAATTTTGTCTCAAATCAAAAGCTTAAAATTGATAAAAAATTTATATGTAAATTAAAATAATGATGAACACAAATTGTGATCTCAGCACATATTCTCTTAGCTAATCTTTTCACGGAAAACTCTAGAAGAAATTTTTCCTCTGATTCACCTGGTGAAACAATTTCCCTGCTTTTGTAACAATTATTCGAACGCAAAATAATAATAATAAATTAGAGGCAGACTTTTCTTATCTTGAATCACAGTCAAGGAAATGATAGGGTGCACCGAGATCATTGTGTTTATATATAACTACTAATACAACTTTAAATATTGCCGAGCAATATTATGCCTGCATTATCCGTGATCGCTTCTGCCAGAGTGCCAGCATATTGCACAACTTTTAAAAGATTAATGTTCAATTGTTCATCATCTTGACATCCTATTGTCGAACGACTGAATGTCAGTACGTGTGTGCGAGCCCAAATTAACAATTACCTAATACACCACAAGCGCACGCAGCCCAATATTAAATATTAACGCCAATATTATTAAAAAATATTATTAATTATAATGATAAATACATTCAAAACCTCATAAACTTAATATAATTTTTACATAGGGAAGGTACGAGGTGTAAGAGCCCGATAACCGAGCACCTCGCAGTGACGAATCTTACCTGATAGTCACGTAATAAATCTTACCTGATAGTCACGTAATAAATCTTACCTGATAGTCACGTAATAAATCTTACCTGATAGTCACATCCGTGTGGCGTACTAGCGAACTATCCTGGCTGGCCACACGTAAGGCAATGCCGGATAGAAAAGCACCTTTCGATTAAACTATGCATTTCACAATTCATTTAATTTCTTTTCACGCATTCAGTCCGTCGCAGACAATCTGCTTCAGATTTTTGTAACGAGTTTGTTTAACCATTTGCTACATTCTATTGTCTTTGACACAATCACTAGAAAAGTTTAATCAGTTTCTTTGATAAATCTAAAAGAACGAAGAATACGCTAATGTGTAGGAAAGATTGAGTAAAAAAAGCGCTACATATTCCGACGAATTTTTGTATCTTCACTCAGCAACGATTGAAATTAGTTCCAAATATTGTTTGTCGGATTGATTTTTCTCGAAAGTGCGACATAGGCTCACCGCTCAGATCTATCATTTAATACTTCGAAAATTAATGTTGTATAAAGAATCGCATCAGCAACGACCAGTAGTAGAAAATATTTTCTTGCCTTACCAAGAAAAAATATCGACAAAAGTATAGAGAAGCAGGACAGGGGAGTCTGCAATGGCGATGCATTTCGAAAGGGAACGTTGTAGGCAAGCAAAGAAAATAATGTTTCTTCTGTTTAGGCAGACGTCAAAGAGATCTTCTCATAAGCTTCGTTACACCGATATATCGTAGTCGTAAACTTCAACGAACGATATTATTTCGAGAGGATGTTACGTAGAAAGAAACACAGAGGAAATATTGAGCTACGAGATACACACCATGATCGAGCAGATTCAGACTACCTACTGGGCTGATCAAGCCGAAGGTCCGCGAGCCAACATCGCTTACCCTCAAATACGACCCTCAGACCTTAAAACGCTCAAAGAATTTGTGAAAACAAGTTTACTGAGCTTGATATATTTGCAAGTATTTTGATCCATTTCACGAATGTATGATGATATTAGGTAACGACTGCCTATTTTATTGAGCTCGATGGCGATGCCTGGCAACTGAGAAGAAGACAGCTGTGAGTTGACCATGCGCAGCAGCTTCATTGGCAGTAGCAACAATAATAAGAGCAGACGTGACATCTCTTTCCACTTCTTTCCTCTTTTCTAAGTTCTCATCTTCGTCTGGCTATTTTCATTCGCTATAAAATACTAGAGAATTTTTTATGTTATTTTGATAAACCTGCGTTTCAAACTTTGTGTTTGTTATTAGCAGAATATTGACCTTGAAACGCTTGTTTGTATTGTTGAATTATATTTATAACATAAATTTAATTAGCTTGGCTAAGACCTACTTAGTTTGCCTTTCAAAGATATTTACTTTCAAAATTATTCTTATTCAAAGAATAACACTCAATTCAACCCCATTACTGAACAACTCAACTCATTACTGTTTATCATCAATAAAGCAGCATCAACCTGAAGTCGCTGTACAGTACGTAGTTAACTCGAAATGGACGTATACATATAACTTTGTAATTCTAATTTTGATTATGAACGCTAGATCCAGAGACAAGCAACACCATTTCTGCTATCCAGAACAATTTCCATTTCAAATGACATGTACTTTCTAACAAAAAAAAATCCTCTGTAACAATTCTCCGGCTAGACTCGCGGCCGGTCTCCAAGATTCTTTGAGCATGATACATCTCGCAAACTAATAACTGCAGATCCATGAAACTTTGCGCATGCATGCACCAGGACCTATCGGTGATGTTTAGGTTGTGATCATTTTATTCGATTTCGCCTTCGTTTCCAAATTGCACGGCCATACGAGAAAAAACTCGCAGTGAACATTGAATAGTTTATAAACTGCAGAATAGATTCGAACGTAACCTTGAACATACATTCCTAATCACCAAACGGTGATGTTTAGGTCATGCATATATTTTCAATCAAGTCTTCATTCGCGAGTTATTTGGCTATACGGAGAAGCAACCAGCAATTCCGTGGTCTGTTGTCAAATTTATGGTGAGCAAAAAATATAATCTCCCAGACTAATGAACTAAGCTTGGTGAAACTTTGCACATGCACTACTCATTTTGAGTTTTCCAATTTATACGGGTAAACGGTCCAAAATTCGCAGTGACACTATTCCGCCTTCTAAAATATTTTAATGATTTGAACGAAACTTACAGCATAACTTGGAAACTAAGGCAAACTCGAAAAAATATAACTCAGTGCTCACTGCAGTGAGTGACAGAGAGCGCATTTTCTCGTCAACGAAAACTTGAGGTCACGGACGGACGGACTGACAGACAGACAGACGGACATGGCGAGCACAAAAGTGCATTTTTTCCATAAATGAGAAAATGCGCTAAAAATAATCACAACCTAATCATAATCAATGCATCTGCACATCTTATTGAGCTACGTTAGTTAGTTTTGAAGATATCTCGTGTTCACAGCAATTTGACAATCAGTCGCAGAAATGATGGGTGCTTCTCGGTATAGTCAAATAACTCACTAATGCCTGAATTGAACATTTTTGCACGACCTAAATCACCGAAAGATGATTAGGAATGTATATTCAAGATTACGCTCGAATATGTTCAGTGGTTAGAAACTTGTCTATGTTCACTGCGAATATTTTGCCCGGATGAGCAACAAGTTGCAAACGGAGTCGAAATCTAAAAAGTCGATCACGACCTAAACATCACCGTTAGGTCCCAATAAATGCATGTGCCAAGTATCATTGAGCTACCTTCATCATTTTGGGGGAGATATTCCATGTTCGCTGAATCTTGGAGACCGACCGGAGAATTATTGTCCGAGAGGTCCAAACATAATCGCTATAGTATTTATTTTGTAAAACTACAGGAACATAGACTGCAACGTAAACAAACACAATTTTATACTTTTGCAAAACATAGCTAAGTTCTAGAAGTCACAAGTAAAAGGTACTTCAATTGTAATATCAACATTTTTCGGGATGATGTGGTTTTACATGACCGGTGCAAATATAATAATTTCAACGCCACCCAGGGGTTTATAATATTAATAATAATAATAAAATAGGTTTCAGCTTTTATTAGGCCGTAGTGTGGTCTCGAACAAACAACTCACCGATTCAATTTCTGCTGTGCTTAACCGCCCGGCCTCCTTGCCGATTCTCGCACAGAGCTGGGATCGAACCTGCGCCTCTTTGCGCCAATCTTGGTACTGTGGAACTGTAACCACTGGGCCACCCTGCCCAGCGTATAGCTATTTCCAGCTCTTCCTATATGAGCCCCTCCCGAGTTACACGGTTAATACGCTTCGTGAACAACTATACCATGACTCTTGACATACCTAATTGAGCTAAGTTTTTATTATAACTTAATAAATGAAAATAGTCTAATATTTCAGGTGTCAAGTGATAAGTGATTGAGACAATTTTAAAAGATCCTGCCTTGAACCCTTTCCGCGTTATACGCTACTTAGCTTACACTCATAGCATAACATTTTAATAATAATATAATAGCGGTTTCAGCGTTAGTAGGCAGTAGGCCTGTCGCCGATTCTTAACATCACAGAACATTCACAGCATTTTTCCGTCTCGAACTCGCAACTCACTGCTACAATTCTGCGGTGCCTTTCCGATTCTGACCAGAAACTGTGGCACAGAGCCTGGGATCGTAACCGCACCTCTCTGCTCTAATCCTGGTACTCTGAACTGTAACCACTGGGCCTAATAAATAGTTACCTATACTGCTGCTGATGATACACTACTCATAGAATCTTAGCAACAGTCTGAATCACTCGACTGAGCTAATAGTAAATGTATATTTGCAATTTTGAGTCATATCTGCACAATTATCGATGTTACTATTCCTATTATCATTAATCACATATATGGCCCGTATGTTAAATAGGGCACTAGCACTACGAAGTAGCACTATGCACTACGAACTTACGAAGTGTCCTGTTGGTATGCTAAATACGTCACAGACACTAAGCACTTCGAAGTAGCTCTACAATGTTTAGTGTCGCTTAGTGTCGCACTACTGATTCGTATGCAAAAAGACTTTGAAGTGCTACTTCGCTGTTAGAGTACTTTATAGTGCCGCACTACGCTATGAGTCTATTGAAGAATGGTAGTTTTGTGCTCAAATTATTAATTATTCCCTAAGTAATTCTCATTCTTTGCAGAAGATTGATGTAAAATGTTTAATTGTGATGGTAATGGTACTAATGAAAATTGTGATGGTGAGCTGAAATTCGCAATGCGTCTGCGCACCTTTCCCATCATATATTCAAAGTCCAGGCTTACCAAAGACATCGAACAAAAGAGAGAAGCATGGAAAGTTCTTGCAGAAGAATTCAAAATGACTCGAGAAAAAAAAATAGACTAAAATTCAAAACATGGTATCAAAAACAAGAAAAGTATTTTTTACTTCTACGCTGTTCATCTGTTTCGCCAAGGAAAATGTCAGCCATAAAAATAACATGTTGTTCACTGAAGCGGTACACTTTTTTATATTCACTGCATGCTGTTCCTGAGGTTTTTACGCGATGATGCCTATGCTGTAAGCCAAACAGATCCATAGCTGACGAAGTAAACAAGGTTAAATATACCGTAGTGTCGTCGTGAAGCGCGGTGTGTAGGACACTTCAGATTTTTGTAGTGCGCGTTATGCTTTTGGCCCTATTTAGCATACCAACCGCAGTGTTCCATGCCGCACTATGGCTTGTAGTGCGTAGTGCTACTTCAAAGTGCTAGTGCCCTATTTAGCATGCCAACCGTAGTGTTCCATGTCGCACTAGTACCGCACTACGGCTTGTAGTGCGTAGTGCTACTTCGTAGTGCTAGTGCCCCATTTGGCATACGGGCCTATGTTGATACCCATGTGTTGATACATTGTTGATGTTTAGATGCGTCCGTATAATTTGGGAGTCAGGAAGGAAGTAAGGGCTTGGCAGTAGTCTGAAAAATAACATGTAAAAGTTTGTATTAGTATGAATGCAAAATCTGAGTCAAATCGCTGCTAAATAGTAGACGATAGGATTCATTACTTGTTGAAGTGAATGGTCATATCTCCAGTCTCACTCTCTCCACTGCTTGCGCGTGGTGAGGAGCAATGGTGTGAGAGTATGTGGCAACGTCGCGGACTCGCGGCAAGAGTGTGGATCAGCAGGCTTGCTAAGTGATGGACACTGACATGGTAGGTATCTTGATCGGCTCTACTTTGAAGAGTAAATAGTTTCGTTGAAGTAGTCAAAGAGTGCAGTTAACGCCAAAGCCGACGGCCCGACTGAGATGACGGTGGCCATTAATGATTTATCGATTCATTCGATTGCGTTGCGACGATTGAGTCCTGCGATTTGACAGGCAACCGATAAAGTTTTTGCAGTAAGGAGTAATACTGTAATAGTAGGTAATCTCATCTGACAGTAATTGTGCTTGATAGGCGAACGGTCTGCGCTAACTGCCGGTGGCCTTATGCTGGTCGGTGAGTCCTCCTCACTCCTGCACTTTTATATATAATTAAGCGAATATATGATATAGGCGAACCATGTTTACTTGGTAAATTTTCTTGAGTACAATCAATATTCAATACATTAATACAATATGTACCTATCCTTACCAAAAGTCTGAACTAGATTGGACATAATTCATCTACTTTCAAGTTTCAAATTCAAAGTGCCAGACGGCAGACTGCCAGTGACAGTGAGACAGTGACAGAATACTGATGAGTTGCCACTTGCTGTTGCCATGCCCATAAGTGGCAGCCCTTGCAACCAGTGCAAACTGCAAGGTGAGTGTGATGTGTGACTGGTGAGTTAGAACTTTCAGTTTCATGGATGATTTAAAAAATTAAAGGCAAACATAAGCATTAGTGCTGCATTACTATCAAGTATCAATTTGTGATTTGTCAAGGGTAGCTAATTAGGCATAAGCCTAAGGCAAGGGCCTAAGAACAAAGTGGCTGAACCGCTGAAATTGTACAAGCATGGAATAAATCTTGCCTTTTGAGCTGCAATAAAAGCTTTTCTACGATTAAAATTAGACCAATTGCAGTTCTAATGCCCAAGATTCCTGCTAGATAAACTACCTCTAATTCAAAATTTCAAAAGTAGACTCAGCACTCTCAGCAATATCAGGCCTGACAGGCCACATGATCCAGAATGCATAAAAATTTTTCTCCTCAGTCCTTGGAGCTGCAATATTTTATTTCATTGAATAGGAAAAATTGCAATACTGAAATGAAATTGTATAGGCCTATCTGTGCACATGGGTGTTTTTGTCTCAATCATTTATATTTTACTAGTGACTCAGTGAGTAGCAATTTCTGTCAATTTTCCTGTTTGGCATGTAAGCAGTAAAGTCCAAGACCAAAGCCTGCGGCTGCCGCCTGCCATCTACAGTCTACACAATATTTATCCATTAAATGCATATCATTTCTAAAAAAAATTCCCATGCAGGCCATATTTGTTTGGAATACTGAAGCAAAATTCATTCAGATGAAGAGAAATTATAGCTGCTTTTTTTTTCTGGAAAAAATTTGAAAACCTAATTTTCATGTAAAACTGATTTTGAACCTATAAACAATATAAAATTTTTATAAATTTGGTTAATATTTATAAAAAACTGCTACACCCTCTAAAGTGTACAATTGCCAAATTTTAGGATGAATTGCAATTGTTTTCTCTTTACCATCACTTTAAATTAGGTTGGAATTATAAAATATAAATTTAGGAATGGTGGGTTGCAAATTTAGTATCAATCCAGCATCTATCCAGCAGGGTCTACAGGAACTCTAGCCTAATGCCCTAATCCAACAATATCAGATTAGTAAAAAAATCCCAGCTTCAGTTCCCGATTTTCTAATATATATAGTTTATATCTAAACCTTTTCATTTATTACCTCTTACAAATTCCTCCCTGCTTGAAATGACTATTGTTTAACCACTCCTCTGGCCATGAAACCTGACCTGCTGTGATAGGTACTGTCAAATGGGGTAAATTGGGAACATCATCCCACATTTCATAGAAATGTTGTAGCAGCTAAACAAATCAAAATATTGCCAAACTAAAAATAGTGGTGTAAAGTTCAACATTTATACTTTTACTATGATACTATCTATGTAGCATAAAGTACGTAAGTTGAGAAATCATACATTTACTACCTTAAAAAAGCCCTGAAAAAAGTATATATATGAAAAGTGAGATTTTGGAAACATACTTCTGCTAAGGTCTGTAGCAAAAAAATATTTACCATATCAAAAAATTTTACTTACCACATAAAAGTTGCACACAGGTGCTGGCTTAAAAATGTGATTGACGGAATTCTCATATCTCATTCCAAAAAAAAAAATTGGGCTGTTTCTGCAGGACAGGGCTATAAGGGACACCCCTAAAAATGCATTGACAGTAGAACCTTGATTTGCAAAGGCTCCAGTTAATGAAAAAATCAATTAACAAAAAAATTTTATTATATTTACCTTGCTCACCAAAAAAATTCCACTTAACAAAAAATTAATGCATCATTGGTCTTCACAATATTGTGTAGAGAATATCATAGATAGAATTGTGCACTGGGCAACATAAAATAGAAAGTAACTAACCTAAACTATGATTTATTTCTCCCAAAAATATGATGGTTGTCACTAAAATATTACCTACTTTCTGTTTCAGGTATGTTACTACAATATTTTTTTGTTATAGTGAATTCACTTGACCCAATTAAAATGGGGTGAAATTACAAGCCGTCCTGTAAGCTTACAGATACAGAAAAGTGCTATAAGGCTGCTGATATGAAGCTTGCAGTGGACAAGGTCATTGTAGATGCTCAATGGCATGTTTATGGATACAGTAATGTATGGATATGGTAACATCATTTCAATAAAGGAAAAATGAGTAAAAATCACAGAAAATATTATTTATTCTACATCTACATCATCTACAAAGTAAAAGGAGGATTTCAGATTACTGTTAGTATACTGTAATGGATGAGTACGTAGTCAAGACTGTCAAGTACATGCTTCATGTTTCAAATGTTTTAAAATTAAGTTTTATTTCAAGTGTCCCAGATTACCCTGTTCCCAGGGGTAATTCGAGATGCTTTTATTTTGTGTCTGGCACCTTACAAATAGCATCTAGAATTATTTGAAGATGCCATATGACAGCCCTTGCAAAGAGCTATAAAATGAGCCAAACTTGTTTATGAAATGTTTCATGATAAGAAGTTAACAAAAAATGCTCAAAACCATCCGTTATTAACGGTACCCCATTGGACGATAGTACTATGATATTCTCATTCAACCTAATCCATCTTGGTGCTTTGTGCTTGATCCTAATTGAGTAAAGCATCAAAATTTGGTATTTTCATCTTTCTTCTTGACAAACATCAAACTGGACCTGAATATATATAGTAAGGAACTTTCCTTGTCATGATATTGGGGTCTTCTGATTTTCTCCATCAAGCCAATGTGGCAGTAAATTGGCATCCCTATGTAATGCAGGTCTAATAATTATCAATTCCAATAGGATGATATCCAATATATCCTTCTGTTTTGATCATGAAGCATTGTTGTCCATATCAATCATTTTCCATATGCCATTTTGTTCAAAATTTGCCATCCATTTTAAAGTATTACTGGCTACTGTGGTTTGCTACAAATTTATTCATCCTTGGCATCTGTAACTATAGATTGGTAACCTGGACCCATTTTGTGCTTTAATTTATGGTCTGGGAAATGGCAATTTCAGCTAATATTTCCACATAATTGAAAGACTACATATAACTGGGTGGTGCATTTATTGCCACAAATCTTGATTTCAAGTCAAAAATTTGTCAAGCTAAACTTAAACAGGTATTTAAGTAATTGAGTTGTGCAATTTTATGAGAAGACATAATAAATAAGGACAGAACAGCAAGATTTCAGGCCATTAATACCTTGATGAATAAAAATTGAAACATACATTTTTGTTCATGTTTCTGAATGTCTTCCATTTTATGTTTATTTTAAGGTAACTTAAACATGCTCATTTACCAATTAATATTACATTTTAGCTTGACCCATTTTCCACTGGTTCAATACAAGAGCCCTTCTAATTATGCGACTAAAAAAATTGTTTGGTCAACAATTCTAAGTATTTGAATTATTTTTATTCTGTTCTTTATTACAGATTATCTCATTTTATGTAGAATAGAATGGTGCATTCTAATTTAGGATTTGACGTTGAACCAACAGTGGATGAAAATTCCAATGTTAGTAGGAGTTCTTCCATTAACTCCTCTAGTGGTTCAATTAATGACTTTCCCAATGAAAGAAATTCATTTACAAAAATTGCTCATGAAGATGAGATGGAAAACTCATCTGGTCAAAGTTCATTCGGCACAAAAAAATTTATTGCTAGTCTGGATGTTGGGACCACAATTATTCGATGCTTTATTTTCAACACAAATGCTGAAATATGTGCTTCAGCTGAAGAAAGGGTAAGAGATGTTTTAATTGCTTGCTATTCCTAACTGTATGCTCTAAGTAGAAATGACATATTTGAACTATACCATATAGGTACTATAGTTAGCTACATGAAAATATTTTGTTTTGAAAAATAGTTACACAGAACAATTATTTTGTGAAAATTTGATCAAGACAAAATCTCTAATTCTGAGGGTGATCAGGAGTGAAAAATATTTCTGAGCAGCAAATAAAGCTGAAAATTTCAGTGAAAATTTAAAAGGTATCTAATTCATCATTGAGCAATATAAAAAAATATAACTCAGTACTCACTGCAGTGAGTGACAGAGCGCGCATTTTCTCGTTGACAAAAACTTGAGGTCACGGACAGACAGACAGACAGGCAGACAGACAGACGGACATGGCGAGCACAATAGTGCATTTTTCCATAAATGAGAAAATGTTCTAAAAACTGGTCACTAAAGGTCTGTTCAAGTCTTATCTCCAATGGAACTTATTTTTATTGGATTTGATATTCTATAGTACAAGCATGCAGTTTTGTTAATGAATCAATCAAGATTTTCAGCAAGCTAAAGTCTCACAGCTTTGAGAAATGGCTTGAAATCTCCAGTCATGGCTTGGAAGGTAGATATCTTTTACTCCTGCACCTGATGAGATAGAAAGCTAAATGGGTCACTGAATGTTATACCTATCACATTTGAAAGTTTGTTGAGGAATAAAGCATGCTGGTTTTTCATAGAATTTTGTCACTATAAAATTTTTGTACGGTAACTCTAATTAGCATATACGGTATTTTCTAAATTTAGGTTGAGTTACTTCATCCTGAACCTGGTCATATTGAAATGGATCCAGAAGAGACTTGGAATAAATGTCAGCTGGTCATTCAAAAAACAGTTGAATGTGAGTACACTAAATTATCAATGCAAAATTATTTCATATATTTTGATATGAGTTGTTAGGTTGTATGTTGATATGAGTTATGTTAAGTTATATGGTGATAAGAGTTATGTTATGGATGGAAAAATTAACAGATACTAATTGGTGGGCATGGTCCTGGTAATGCAGCCTCAAACAGAAGCTTAGCTCTTCTGGTAGAGATTTCAAGTTACCCTTTATTGTTCATTCAAGTCTGTGTGCTTTTTTCTAGCTTTTCTGGGAGAGATTTCAAGTTACCTTTATTGTTCATTCAAGTCTGTGTGCTTTTTTCTTTAGTATGATACTTAATTCATTTTTGTATGTTTAAGGTGTTGGTGCAGAAAACATCACAAGCATTGGTGTGTGCACTCAGCGTGGCACTTTTTTGCTCTGGGATGCTGTTACTGGCAAGCCTTTCCACAATCTCATCACCTGGAAAGACCTGAGAGCAGATGCTCTGGTCAAGCATTGGAACAAGTGCTTCCAAATGAATGTCAGTTTCATCTCAAGATTTAGATAGTGAACAGGATCAGGTACCTTTAAATCTTTACTGATCACAATAACTGTTTTGTTTCATGCCTTTCAGAATACTTTGATGAAACTCATCCTGCCATTTCACACTAGTGTTGATCAATTTTTATTTAGAAGCAGTGTCATGCCTGACAATATTTGTAACTTGCTTGCTATATTAATATTTGCTAGATTTTCAGCTGGATTGATGAATTCCCTTATATTTATCTCTCTCTTTATATAATGTTTACTTATCTGTTCTTGCATTCTCTAAACATTTATTTAATTGCTTGCCTTCCATAAAATTGGGTAACTTTGACCACTTTTTTTTTCAAAATGATGCCATTTTTTTACTAGATAAGTTAAACTTAAATTGAAACAGGCAAAATACAGGTCTATACTCTAGCTTCACTCACCATAAATTGCTGGCTCCTGCCTCTCATAGTTTTGATGTAATATAAAAAAAAAAGTGATGGTCTTTGTTATCACAGTTCTTGGGGTCTCTTTGACCGGGTGGTAAAATCAATTTTATTTTTTGGTAAAATGACTCAAAGTTTTGGTGCATTGTAGTAGAACTCTTCTAGTTACATATGCAAAGGACTAATTTGTGGGAAGTGTCATAGTTTGCAAATTGGGGGCTATGACACTTTCCTAAAATTTGTCATTTGCATATGTAACTAGAAGAGTTCTACTACAATGCATCAAAACCTGGAGTTATTTTACCAAAAAATAAAAAAATTGGAGGGGTACTCCAACAGGCTTTAAATAGTAGCTCTTTTTCGTGGGTCACATTATTAATTTTTTAACCTATTAGATATGCAAACTTTTTAAATCTTTTTATTGTGTTACGTAGCCTCAGTATTAGGCCTTTGATGGCCATTGACAAAATTTTTCTATGTCAAATAGTTTTTGAGTTTTGGGGGTTTTTGTTAAAAAAATGAAAAGTGGTCAAAGTTACCCCGCCGGTCAAAGTAACCCCATTTTATGGTACTCTAGTTGTTTGATTAACTGTTTGACTAGCAGGAGTACCTATAGGTACTATGTTGCTAGTACTATGAATTGCTAGTACAAGATAACACCATCAATTGCAAGATATAGTTACTCATAAGCCTATTCAAAATTTTGCATGTAGAAAGAAAGAACTGCCATAAAAGAACTGTGGAAATGATTGATGATGCAGACACACAGGAATAAATGCAGATTTTATCTGCAGTTCTAAAATGTTGAGTGTGTTGCAGTGTCTGAGATGGGGCAGTACTAAGACTGTCTCTTATACACATCTAGATGTGTATAAGAGACAGAGTCTGCAGTTCTAAGATGTTCTGTGTTGCAGTGTCTGCGCTGGGGCAGCAGTTCTAAGATGTTCTGTGTTACAGTGTCTGCAATTGGTCTGCAGTTCTAAGATGTTCTGTGTTACAGTGTCTGCGCCGGGGCAGTCGCTTCCTGCACTTCTTGACTGGCAGTGACAGATTTCTGGCATCAAGCGTTTTGACCTTCATGAATGCCCAGGTTTTATGGCTAGTCTTTTTGTTATCTATCATTCAATTCTTCTCATGTTACGTACCGCAATTTGTTCAATTGCTTTTGAATTTTTCTTAGTTTTTATCTATACGAAAAAAATTTTTTTCTCAAATAAGAAATTAAATACCAGATCCTTCAAGTAGTTTGCTGTCGTCCTTTTAAAATACAACCATAGAATTGCTGTAATTGCTTGATTATTTCCCAGGTTGTGATGCGTCTGAAGTGGGTTCTGGAGAATATTGCTGAGATGGATAAGCTTATAGCAGGTGGCAGGGTGCGATTTGGGACACTGGACACCTGGATTGTCCACAAACTGACCCAAGGCAAGGTGCTCTATTCTGTTCGCTACACATTTTATAATCCCATGTCACTTCTCACCAATTTTACATGAATGATTTTTTAACGAATTTGTTATTCATGACATATGTATATTTACTTCATCCGAGAAATGAACACTAAAAATCTTTTAAACTGCATAGAATTTGACATTAGCTGCCTGATACTTTTTTTTCATCTTGGAGCTATTCCAAATTCATGATATAGAATTATTATGTTTACTTATAATACAGCCGCCACAATATAGGTATAAACCTATAAAATTTCAGTGTGGCATTCTTGCAATTTCCTGATGTAGGAAAACGTTCAAAGACAAGTTGTTTATTTTGCAGGTGTATGCATCGGACTACTCTAATGCCAGCGCCACGGCCATGTTTGATCCCTTCTTAAAAGAATGGAGTTCCTTCGTCTTGCGCTTCCTTGGTATCCCAAATTTAATTTTTCCTGAACTACGGCCAAGTTGTGGGGACTGGGGAACCTGTCATCCCAGTGTCTGTGGGGCTGCTTTGCCTATAACTGCTGTGGTCAGTAGAGGATGTCTTTCACTATAATATTTGTTTATGACTCTAGTGCTAGGAGAAATTTATGGAATTATTTATTGATTTTAATCTTTTATTAGTTCTAGCTATAGTAATTCAGATGTATGGGCATCATTTTATGAGCTACGTACACATTAGAGTGCTAAATACAATTTCAGGGATAATTATCATAAATTCATTTTAGTTTAGTTGAATATGTGCATCAGTTATGGAATTTAGAATAATATTTGTTACAGATTTTTAAATTTTGGCATTATGTAGAATTGTGGACTTTCCATTCACAATGCTAATATACTTGGCCATTACTGTACACTGTGCATTCTTTCTAAAATTATTTCATTCTGCCTCTAACAAATTTAATTTTTTGTACCCTCTTTTTCTACATTATTGTTGTGCTTTACAATACATCATAGCCATATTGTTCTAAGTACAACAATCTGGCTTATTGAAATCCTGTCTCGTTTAAAGAAAAGACTTCAACTTAAATTTCAAGTTAAGTAGCACTGAAATTAGAGTAAGTGGGTCCACTGAATGCAAGTCTTGTTGTCAAATCTTCATCTAGAAATAGTATGGATGAAGCTTAATGTATCCATAGATAAAGTGTTACAGTACACAATGCTTATGGTGCAGGTCAGTGACCAGGGGGCATCTCTGGCAGGGGGAGGAGGACACTCACGAGGCCATCTCAAGATCACCCTGGGGACAGGCGCCTTCATGAACCTCAATACTGGCGAGCAGCCTCTGGCTACAGTGTGTGGTGAGCGGGTTTATGGTCCTGTACAGTGCATTGTATTGATACTGTGTAGAGTTGAAGTGTATCTATACAGTGTATTGTAAGCAACAGATGTGTACAATACACTAGTGAACAACTTCTTGCTACAGTTTGCGGTGAGCGGGTTTATGGTCCTGTACCAATTTAAATAACTTCTCCTGCTAACTATGCCAATATCTGAGTCTATTTAGTATATCATACACAACAGATATGTGCAATACACCGTAACATCCTCTCGCTTTTGTGTGTGAGAGGCAACAGATGTGTTCAATAAATTACATCACACATTTGGGTCAATCGCAAAAAAAAAGTGTCTCGAATGTGATATATTATTTGTAGCTCTTGCGCGTCCTTTCCATAAAAGTTCACTTTATTCAGTATATTTACACAGTAAGAGAGGTTAAATAATGCTTAATATTTGTTGAATATAGTGGAACTTAATGCCATTTTCCTATTAGTTTTCCAAAGTTTGTTTGAGGCTAACTTGTGAAGCTCCTCACACTTGTTTGGAGGCATGTTTGATGTATTCTAGATAAGTTTGATGTAAGCAATTACATCGGAACTTCGTCTAAAAAATTGCACTTTCAGGAATATACCCGGTGGTTGGGTGGCAGGAACCTAAGGGCAGAGTTGTGTTCATGGCTGAAGCCTCAGCGTTGGACGTCGGCACGGTCATGGAGTGGGGACAGCGCGTTGGTGAGATGCTAACCTTGCCTAAATGAAGCTTATGGCCTCGTTCACAACACATTGCCCGGCATATGCCAGTAATATGCCGGGCTCAGTCCAGTAAAATATTCTTTAATGCATTTCCATAGAAGCATTCACACCACGAGCATGGAAGGTGCCTTGCACGGCTGGTGTGAATGCATCCATAGAAATGCATTAAAGAATATTGGACTGAACCGTGCCTGGCAGTATGGTGGGAACCCGGCTTAAATATTCTTCACACCGTTAGAATTGAACCACGATTTTATTCTTTACCATTTTTCCTTTAATTTCAAATTAATTTACTGGTTCAATCCCTATTTCTAAGAGAGCTGCAGAAGATTGTCTACTCTATTTCTTTTAATTTTGAATTGATTTAAAAGTTCAAAACATTTCTTACAATGGCAGGAAGATTATTATTTACTCAATTTCAATTCATTTCGAATTAAAAGTCGGACGATTTAATATTGTTTACTACCTATATATCCTTTTATTTGTGATTATAAAAATTTCTCCATTTATTTTGAGTTCAATATCAATTTAATGTTTTCTTGGCAACAACCATGAAATTAAACCATGAAAATATATAGTATTTATGGCATTAACGAATATTCAACTTCTGATATAGAAGAGAAAGCTCAAGGTTGGTGTCGGAGTTCACATTCAACTTTTTCCTAAATTCAATTGAATAAAGGAAAAGTTATCAAACTTGGAATAAAATCAGTTTCATCATTGATTTGGAAAAAGGTGTAAAACTTGAAGTGGAACCAATTTCATCTTGATATTTAGAAGATGTTATATTAGGAGTGAAACTAATTTATCGATCTACTTGAAAAGAGATGTCAAACTGTAAACAGTGTAACGCAGAATATCAGAGACCGTTGTTGTGCAGGACTCTACACCGACGTGACAGAGACCGCTGCCATCGGAGCGTCCGTTCCAGACTCTGGAGGCGTGTACTTTGTCCCTGCGTTCCAGGGCCTCCAGGCGCCCGTGAACGACAGCACCGCGACGTGTGGCTTCATGGGCATCAAGGCAGTGACGACGCGTGCCCACCTCGTTCGTGCCCTGCTTGACAGCTTGTCATTCCTTGTCTACCAGATGTTTGAGGCCATGCTGGATGAGGCTCGGCAGCCGCTGCTTGATGCCAGGTATTCCTTGTCTACCAGATGTTTGAGGCCATGCTGGATGAGGCTCGGAAGCAGCTGCATGATGCCAGGTATCATATGTCATATTTTAGTCTTAAAATGATTGTAGCCACATAACTCTCCCCGACTTTTGAGTTAATTAAATCCCCGATTTAAATTAAAAGCTTAAGTTTTTTTTCCTTTCACAAAGTACGTTTTTCAATGAAAATGTATACCGGTAGGTACTATAAAACAAAAAATTTATCTACGTTATGGTAATTTGAAGCAGAGATATAATCAATTAAAAAGTTCATGAATTTTAAGTGCGACACTCCGCATGTCAGCAAAAGTCAGAGTCAAAGTGCTGTAAAATCGCTGTCTTGTCACGCCATTTGTGCACAACATTTTCTTCTGGAGAAATGTAGCGCAGTGACTGTCTGTCCCACTTTACAGCTACTTTTTCACGCCACACTCGCTCCCCACTTGCGCCCCCACTTGTGCTCCATTAGATACTTCACTCATGCCCCACTCCCGCCCCACTCTTGCCTTACTCACGCCCATTGCCGCCAGGGTGGACGGCGGAGTGTCGCGTAACGAGCTCATCGTGCAGCAGATCGCGACGCTGACGCAGCGGCGCCTGACGCGCTACACCACGACGCAGCTCAGCGCCCAGGGCACCGCCGTCCTAGCCGGCCTGGGGGCAGGTGCGTACCCCCGGGGGTTCTGGTACCACATGTGTCCTTCTGATGTCTTGTACCACATGTGTTCCTCTGGGGTCTTGTACCACATGTGTTCCTCTGGGGCTGTCTCTTATACACATCTAGATGTGTATAAGAGACAGGTGTTCCTCTGGGGTCTTGTACCACACGTGTTCCTCTGGGGTCTTGTACCACACGTGTTCCTCTGGGGGTCTTGTACCACATGTGTTCCTCTGGGGTCTTGCTGTCTCTTATACACATCTAGATGTGTATAAGAGACATGTGTTCCTCAGATGTGTATAAGAGACAGCCTCTGGGGGTCTTGTACCACATGTGTTCCTCTGGGGTCTTGTACCACATGTGTTCCTCTGGGGGTCTTGTACCACATGTGTTCCTCTGGGGTCTTGTACCACATGTGTTCCTCTGGGGGTCTTGTACCACATGTGTTCCTCTGAGGGTCTTGTACCTTCCGTTACACGAGCCAGGTGGTACATACATGAGTTAAATTTATCATTTTAGTGTGAAGTGTAGGAAATTTTGAGTCCAAGTTGATTTGTTGACAACAATCGCTTAGGCACCAACCCAATTAATGATCAAATTTTTATTATTAAGGCTATGCTAGTCAAGGCTTTTCATCCTAAAGTGTATTATTGTTCAGCTAGGTATCACATTGGTTACGTCAATTGATTCAATCATTTTCAATGGGCGCCATAACATCACATTGATGATTGAAATCAAGGTAGATGAGCAACAAGTGGAGTATATAATTACTTTATAATTTTGCACGTTTACTACAGGCGTTCACAAAAGCGCATCTGCTGTAGACGCGCTGCTGGTTGTGGAGCGCGTATTCGAGCCTGAAGCAAGCGAGCGTCCTCGTCTGCTGCTGCACTACGCCAGGTGGAAGAAAACCTGTGCAAGATTCGGCGCCTGGACATCTAGTTTCGAGGGTCAACTCTAATATTCTTCCAGTCAATATTGTGCTCTTTAAAGTTGATAAAATTTTATGCTGGATGAAGGTATGAACGTTTCTGAAAATATATTTTTGGTACCTAAACTTAGGGTGATGATTGCGATCAGTAGACATTCCCTGTGATGGGTGCAGGTTGTTAACGGAATGGCTGTTGGAAGCATCTTCTGTCAAACTTTTTCTCCGAATAGTTGAATTTTGTGCAATAATATTCCATGTCGCTTCTCATCTCTTCGTAAACCAATTCTTTAAAAAAAACTCCTGGTGGCGGGAATACGTTACCTTATTTTATCTGAAGCTTACCGGAATTCAGTGCCAACTTCTGGTATATCTTGATAGTTTTCAGGCCATTGATTTAACAATCACAGTCAAGTCGGATGGCTTTCAGTAAAAGTAAACCTAACCATTTTGGAAAAGATTCAAGAACGTCATAGTAAAGAGTATTTATTACGTAGTTTATATAGTTGGTTTTCTTTATGTGAGGAAACAGCGGCTCAATCCACAACTACTTCAAAATTGTAACGCTAATTTATCCCTATTTTCAATACCATTTTTATTTCTTGTTGAGAACATTGTTGCATCATTGCAATTCAAGGTTCATCTCCCTCTTTTTAACATGTAATGTAAGCGCTATTAAATATTCATATCTTGCCCTGCATAAAATTTCCTTGCCCTGCATAATTTCCGCTCCTCACCTCAACTGAAACTTCCTTCATCAGATACAATTTCTTGAATTCGGACTTATCGCTTTGTTCTTGGGGTATTTTTGGTACCTATATGTTGGGATGTTTATTGCCACATTTTAATGTGTATCCATTTTTGTTGTTCGCACTTCTTCTGTTTTTATGTATATGACATTTGGCAGTGCTGCTGCGCGCCCAACAATGAAACAAATATAATTCATGGCGAGATAATTTTATTTCTTCTACTTAATAACTACTGGCCGTGAGATAAAATGAAGTGTCAAGACCATGTGTGTTTATGTGGGTGACATATAAGATAGAATTGTTAATGTAGGTGACGTGTGTGACAAGTGACATTCGACTTGAGTGTCTTATCTCTGATCTTCTCATTTCTTGAACGTGCAGAAACTGGAGACTTCTTATTTAAAGCTGCAGTGCGGAAATCGCTTTTTCCATCTACTTAACACGATGCCTATTATTCTGAAAATGTTCCAATTCGAAGACAAATGTATATCTTACACAAATGTTCTTCAGAAAGATGAAATTTAGAACAATGCAATTGTTTTTCATCCGTCTGTTACCAATTAGTTTTTCAAAATGTGTTTATTCCAGTGGTCCGTACCCGTATTACGTTTTATTTTATGGTTGCTGTGTCCAGTGTCCACAGCAGCCACATCACCCTGCGTGAATAATATGGTACCAGACTACAAGTTTGGAAGTCTCTATACGACAAAAATTAATTTTTTTTGTATAAGAATGATAGAGTTATCGTTATATTTATTCCAATGCTTGTCACAACGTTTTGGGTTTGTTACTACCTTGCACGTTGGCCTTGGCAGCTGCAGGTGTTATGTTCCATTAAAGCTTGAGTAGTTGAGTGATGTGTTTATGAGGGATGTGTTGATGAGTGATGTGTTGATGAGTGATGTGTTGATGAGTGATGTGTTTATGAGTGATGTGTTGATGAGTGATGTGTTTATGAGTAATGCGTTTATAAGTAATGCGTTTACAAGTAATGCGTTTATGAGTAATGCGTTTATGAGTAATGTGTTTATAAGTAATGCGTTTACAAGTAATGCGTTTATGAGTAATGCGTTTATGAGTAATGCGTTTATGAGTAATGCGTTTATTAGTAATGTGTTTATAAGTAATGCGTTTACGAGTAATGCGTTTATGAGTAATGTGTTTATGAGTAGATGTAGCCAGCAGTTCTTCTGTCTCCTTATATGTCCTTAGCATCCTTATTGCTTCTTATTAGTGATTAATTTCACATCTAACATGGAAATTCTACCTAAAAGTTTACCATCTTTTGAATCTACTCAGTGATTTACTGCCAGATTATATTTTTTAGGAAGCATTGCTCATTATTATCTATTATATATTGTGTGGTAGTTGTTATTGTCTGTTACCGTTTCAGTGTTTATGCCTTGATTTACTAATAATCTTTTATAATCTGTTATTTAGTTGTCATGGTAGCTGTGGTTCTCATATATATTTTTCGTGTTAACTATTTCATGATCAGTCTATAGTCTAGATTCTAGACAGTGGTGATTGTCTGTTCTAATATCTATTCTTTATTATGTAATTCCAATATCTATTCTTTATGATTACAATAGATAAAAAAAGCTCTTGCCTGAGTGAAGCTGTGTGGGCTTCTGAGCAGTCTTGGCCTAGTTAGTTAGTTAGTTACTAACATGGCCGAAAATAACTTACTAACTAACTTACTTGACCGAAATCAAAGCTTCTCGTCTTGCGCTTCCTTGTGAAGGCTTGCACCACAAATTAAACTAAATAAGACACGTTAAAGTTGTGTTGCGTTGAAGTTATGTTGAGTTGAAGTTGTGTTGTGTTGAAGTTGTATTGAGTTGAAGCTGTGTTGTGTTGAAGTTATGCTGCCTTAATTCTCGTGAAAATAATAATGGTGAATTGAGCAGATTTTTTTGGATATTCTTCGGAAATTTTTCTTTAAAAGGTTGTATTGTGAGTGAATGAGAAGTAAATAAGGTGAAGGTTCTAGAGAATAAAGATGAAAGTTCATAGAAACTCAAGAAGCGCGTCATTATATTTAGAAATGTGTCCGAATCTTGACCAAATATGTTTGAAGAGAATCAAAATTTAGTGTTAAGGCCTTGCTTAAAATTTGATGTTGATGCTATTCAATGCGCTCAGAGCGTCTATGCTAATGTATTGTTTGTACAACCTCTGCTGTATGCTGTGGGCTGTGGTTTCTGTTGAGTGTTGAGGTTTCAAAAGACAGCGCTTCTGCCTCTCATTGTTGATCTATGGGTCTTCATTACGCTTATATTGTTTTGTTGTTAATGGTTGTTAACTCTCAAATTTATTCTTATAGTTTTTTAAATGCGATGCTTTTAGCGCAAATTTTCCTCCATTCATCTGACTTGGTTTTATATAGTTACTTGTCATTCTTTATACTTGAATTTTAATTAACACATATTTGAATTCTATTCATTTCTATGGGAAAATAAGTAAAAATTTCTCTCTACGATAAATTAGTTCTCTCATTACTCTTATAATGCTCAAGAACTCTCCGGCAGCCTGATGCTTAACGAGAAATTGTTTTTATCTACACTTATCCTTCTATAGCTCCTGCCATGCAGCAGGGAAAAGCTATTTAATTTCTAAATTGTATATATTTTTACAATAAAATCATATTCTCGAGAATCAATGCCATTTTTCCCCGTGTGTCAAATTTGTTGAAGTTGTTAACCGAGCTATACTATGTCGATGCGACAGTGCGACTAGTTTTTTTTAATTTTGTAAGGTAATTAATGGTATTTAAATAGGTTTCAATCTGTGGTTGGTATCATCTGTTAGTAATGACTGGGAATGAGGTCAAGTTTGAATTTATTGTTTTTAGGGTTACAAGTGATCAAAAAAGGGATCTGTTAACTGTGATGGATATTATTTGTGTATGACGAGTGTATGGACATTATTTGTATTACAGAAACACTTCTTAAAAATCGAAGAGGAAAATTGTACTTGTTGAATTTCAGTTCACAAGTTTTGATAACTTGAATGAAGAGCATTGCAGTAGAGGTGTAGCTATGTGGGTTAGAACCTCTTATGGGGCCCAGCAAGTTAAGTTATCTGCAGAGCATCAATCAGCTAGAGAATCAGTGTGGTGCCAACTTACTCTAAAAGGCAAAGATAGCCTCCTCATAGGCGTCGTGTATAGATCACCTAACAGTTCCTCTAATAAAGATAATGTACTAAGCAGCCTTTTACCGAGCATGACTTTCAGTAGGTCGCACACGCTGATAGTTGGTGACTTTAACCATCCAGAAATAGACTGGGTGGATGAATGCTCTCCTAGAAATGGGAATCACCAGCATCTTGACTGTGCGAGAGTCATTTTTAATCCAGAACATCACCAAGCCAATACATGTTAGGGGTGAAGAGACCCCAAATATTCTAGATCCACTGCTTACTAGTGAAGAATTAATGATAGATAAGCTTCGCCACGAGGCTCCGTTGGGCAAAAGCCACCACCGGTCATTGTTTTTCAGTAGTGCCATACAGAAAAGACGCTTATGAAGCGTGAACGTTTGATTTTTGGGAAAGGCGACTACGTTAAACTCCGTGATGCAGTAAGAGCGGCTAATATTTCGGACTGTATTAAGGACATGAATGTGGCTGATTCCTTGTCATATCTTAGAGACACGGTTATGTCTGTTGTCGATGCGTGTGTACTCAAGATTAAGCTCGGTGGAGTCAAATGAACACAGTGGATGAGCAGTACAGTCAAGGCTACGCTGAAGACCCAAAAGGAAGCCCACAAGCGTTATGTACGAACTCGCAGACATGCTGATTATAACCTCTATGCAAGATCTCGAAATCAAGCTAAGAAAATCTGTCGCACCGCAGTGAAAAACTTGAATTCTACATCGTTTGAAGAACAACATACGCCAAGCCATCGCCAACATACCCGTCAATATGCTTCAGCGAGTTGAATGGAATTTCAAAAGTTGACTTACTGAATGTATGGACAATGGGGCCGTCATTTGTCCGATATCATCTTCAAAACTGCATGATACAAAAACTAAGGTAATATCTTTTTCAATACAATTTATATTGTAATGATATATTAACCAGTTCTTTATTTAGTGCGCTTTCAAATCAGGAAATTTCATTGAATCACCCTGTACTATATATATTTTTTATTTTTCTACGTAACACAAATTTCATACACATATTAAAGTGGCATTTAAATTCCCTAACAAGTCACTCGAGCGCTTAAGGGACTGGAGGTGCTGGTGACCTGAACCAGGGCCACTTATGCTTCGAAAGAATTAAGATATCATTAATGATACATACGCTATCTTTAATGATACATACGCCATCTTTAATGATACATACATCATCATTAATGATACATACGCCATCTTTAATGATACATACGCCATCTTATTCAACTCTGGGATTCTTTATCTTATACTCTCAGCAGGAGGGAGGTATACCCTCCGGAAAAACTTTTTTTGCTTACGGACGGATCTTTCTGAAACTTCACACATATATGTAAAACCGCAAAAGAATCACATTTTGTGAATGTGATTTTTTCGGAAAAATTGATAGAAAACGTGAAATTCATAGAAAACGAACAAAAAAGGGGGTACTGTAAAAATCTATCTCCTCCTAGGGTTTTCAAGCTACAACATAGAGACGTATATCATTCGATGCGTAAAGACCATACCAATCGAGTAACGAAGCCCGATTTTTTATTTTTGTCTTAGTTTTTATTTTTACACGTATTTTCCATTTTTTTCAGCTTCCCTCCCCCCTTTTCCCCCATTTTGAATCCAAACTATGCACAAATCTAGAAAAAAGGCTCCGTTACTCGATAGGTACCTGTGGTCTTTACAAATCGAATGGTATATGTCTCATCGCTGTAGCTTCAAAACTCTAGGAGGAGATAGGTTTTCCGTGACAATAAGTTAAACTTTTCAGGACAGCGCGACAAAGTCCCGCGCGCCTTGAAATAGTCACTCAATGTAGCATAGATACCAAACTACAGGCTTCTGTAGCTTCCTTCCACTCAAGGATGGTAGCAGCGACTTGCAG